AAAATGACTGCAATAAAAATTATTGCAAAGAGAAAAAGGTTAAAGGTTATTATAAACTTAGAAAAAACGAATTAATCAAAGTATTAACACCAGTCCCAAAACCAAGAAAGAGTGTAAAAGAGATGGTTAAAGAGTATGAGAACAATACACATATGCTATCAGATAAAAATAATAAACCAGTACCAACACCAAGAGTTAAAATAAGAGAAACAAACAATGCTCTTAAAGGTTATACAAAGTCATATGAAATAAGCATTATTAACAATAAAGATCCATTGAAACAATTACAGAACACTAGAAAGTATCTTACATATTATATTAAAGAAATATTAACAACAATGAAAGGATTAAAATTTATTGAAACGCTTAAGGTAACATTTGAAAAAATCAAAATTAAATATAATGGTGATGTTGATCATATAATAGAAATTGCTTATTTCAATAGTCAAGCTTTAACAATTACAAATAATGAAAATATTACTGAATCACTACAAATTTCAAAACAAAATATATTAGATAAAATTAGTAAATTCAATCAAGAAGGTTCTGCATGGATTATTAAATCTATAGATAATCATTATCTTAATGTTGTTAAATACAAGCCATTACAAGGATCTTCATATATTAATTTACCACAAGAACTTAAAAACTCTAAAAAAGGATTAATTAATATCAAAAATACAGATAATGAATGTTTTAGATGGTGTCATATTCGTTATTTAAACTCACAAAATAAACACCCATACAGAATAAAAAAATCTGATAAGGAATATATTAACAAATTAGACTACTCTGGGATCGAATTTCCAGTAACTGTTAAACAATATAATAAAATCGAAAAGCAAAACAAAATTAACATTAATGTATTCGGTTATGAAAATAAGCAACCATACCCCATTTATATATCAAAAGAAAAATTTAAAGACCATATGGAATTACTATTAATAACTGATAATAAAAACAAACATTATATTCTAATAAAAAATTTTAATGCATTTATGTACAATCAAACAAAGCATAAGGAAAGAAAACACTTTTGTATGCGCTGTCTTCAATGTTTTAGTTCTGAAAAAATATTAAACAACCATATAGAAAATTGTATATTAATAAATGGTATACAATCAATAAAAATGCCTGATAAAAATAATAACATACTGAAATTCAACAACTATCATAAGCAACAACCAGTACCATTTGTCATATATGCTGACTTTGAGGCTATTACAGAAAAGATATCTGGTTGCCAACAAGATAATGGTAACTCATATACAGAAGCCTATCAAAAACATACTGACTGTGGTTATGGATATAAAGTTGTTTGTTGTTATAATGATCAATTTACTAAACAAATTCAACTATATAGAGGTGAAAAGGCTGTTTACAAATTTATGGAAGCTATGTTAAAAGAAGTTAAATATTGTAAAAATATTATGAAAACCTACTTTAATAAACCATTAAAAATGACATCTGATGATGAAGAAGAATTTAAAAGAGCTGATGAATGTCATATCTGTAACAAAAAATATACTAACAAAGATATTCGAGTTAGAGACCATTGTCATGTGACAGGTAAATACAGAGGCTCGGCACACCAAGATTGTAATTTAAAACTTAGAATAGACCCTGATAAATTAAAGATCCCAGTAATATTTCACAATCTTAGAGGGTATGATTCACATTTCATTATGCAAGAGATCGGAGCTATTGTTAATAAGCATACATACAAAAACAAAAAAGGTGAGGAAACACAGATGAATATAAATGCTATACCAAATAACATGGAAAAGTATATGGCTTTTATGCTAGGTAACCATCTCACCTTCATTGATAGTTTTCAATTTATGAGCTCTAGTTTAGAAAAGCTTGTTTGTAATTTACCTAAAGATTCATTTAAATATACCTATAAGCAGTTTCAAGGTGAAAAATTTAATTTAATGACTCAAAAAGGTATATACCCATATGATTATATGGATAGCTTTGAAAAGTTTGATGAGGGGTTGCCTTCAAAAAGACTTTTATAGTTCTTACTGATGAAATATATCAGATGATTCTTATAATCATGCTCAAAATGTTTGGAATACATTCAATCTCAAAACATGGGTGAGTATCACGACCTGTATCTGAAATCTGATATCCTTCTATTAAGTGATGTATTTGAAAACTTTAGGAAAACATGCTTAGAATACTATAAATTAGACCCATGCCACTATTTAGTAGTCCTGGTTATCTTGGGATGTATGTTGAAGATGCAGATATTAAATTAGAATAATGACTGATATTGACATGTTTCAATTCATCGAAAAGCTATGAGAGGAGGTTTTTTATATTTCTAACCGATATGGTAAAGCTAATAACAAGTATATGGAAACATTTGATAAGAATAAACCCTCAAAATATATAATGTATCTTGACGCAAATAATCTTTATGGATGGGCTATGTCACAAAATTTACCTACTGGTAATTTCAAATGGTTAACTGATAAACAGATTAACAACATAAACCTTGCTAAATATCAAGCAGATAGTAAAAAAGGTTTAATTTTAGAAGTTGATTTAGAATACCCTGAAGAACTACATAATTTACATAACGATTATCCACTAGCACCAGAAAAAATTAAGGTAACTAGCGACATGCTTTCAAAATATTGTAAGACAATTGCTTCTAATTACAATATATCAACAGGTTTAGTTTCAAAATTAATACCTACATTACAAAATAAATACAAATACGTTTTACATTATAGAAATCTTCAATTATACTTAGATCTCGGGTTAAAATTGAAAAAAGTACATAGAGTACTTGAATTTAATCAATCTCCATGGTTGAAAAAATACATAGACTTTAATACTCAAAAACGAACTAATGCAAAAAATTCTTTTGAAAAAGACTTCTTCAAATTAATGAATAACAGTGTTTTTGGTAAGACGATGGAAAACTTAAGAAAAAGAGTAGATGTTAGGTTAGTAACTAATAAAGATAAATTATTAAAATTAGCTTCAAAACCTACTTATGTAAGTAGTAAAATTTTCAATGAGAACCTTGTGGCTGTACATAAGATCAAAGAACAATTGGTTCTCAACAGACCTGCATATGTGGGTATGTGTATCTTAGATTTAAGTAAAACTTTGATGTATGATTTTCATTACAACTATATCAAAAATCGGTATGGTGATAAAGCTAAATTATTATTTACAGATACAGATTCTTTAACATATGAAATTGAAACTAATGTCTATCAAGATTTTTGGAGTGATAAAGATAAATTTGATAACAGTGATTATGATAAATACCATAAATATTATGATAATACTAATAAAAAAGTTATTGGTAAAATGAAAGATGAAGCTTCGGGAATAGTAATTAAAGAATTTGTTGGTTTAAGAAGCAAGATGTATAGTTATATTAAAGATAATAATAAAGGAGATAAAAAAGCTAAAGGAATTAAGAAAAATATTATTAAAAACAAAATAAAACATGAAGACTATAAACAAACACTATTTGAAAATAAACAAATACATCATACAATGAAAACTATTAGAAGTGTAAACCATCAACTTAGTAGTTATGAAATTAATAAAGTATCACTTAGCTGTTTTGATGATAAACGGTACATATTAGATGATGGTATAAATACTAGAGCTTATGGTCATTATTTAAATGATAATTAAAACTTATTTTAATATACAGTTATAATGTGTAGTAAGCATGTAGCGTGGGCCTCTGTTAGAGTAAAATCATACATACCTGCTCCTCATGTTTGATTACATATCACATAACTGTTTGTAATAAGTAATTAATACAAAAGCGATATACAAAAGAATTCAAAATCCTGAAACAATTATTAAAAACAATTTTAACAAAAATTATATGACACTCGCTTGACAGACAAATTAAAAAAACATATAGATTCCATATTTTTACAACATTTATTATTATACATGCGCTGATGAAATGTGCTATTACATTAAACAACCATTGTTAGAAACATGCACTAAGACACGCGCTTGACAGACAAATTAAAAACATATAGATTCCATATTTGTAAAGAGCATCTATGACATTGCGCTCAAAATTTCAGGCTTAGTTGCCTGAAATTCTTCGCCCCTAACAACGATTTTAAAAGATTATTAACACTTGATTATTAAAGAAAATTTCTACCACGCGCTGAGTTTTAAGACCATTGTTAAAGGCCACTAGTCTGCCAATATACCACGTAGACTATAAAGCGCCTGCTACATATTTATAAAACATTTATTATTATACATGCGCTGATTAAATGTGCTATCTACATTAAACAACCATTGTTAAAAACATGCACTAAGACAATGCTGCTACAAAACCAGCTATCGCTGATACTGATATTTTAATAACACTTGATTATTAACACTTGATTATTAAAGACGGTTTTTGAAGAGCATTTTTAAGTCTTGTTATTCTCGATATTCTTCGAATATTCATCGAATTCCATGGGGAACCTCTGAATTTTCCTTCAATTTTTCCCACGAAACGACTTTTTTCGACATCTCTTGTTCCAGGCTGCCGAGTCTCCGAACCGATGTTTAAAGAAGACTGTTTAACGCACCTATATATTTAAAACATCCCATTTTTACCCCTTTGAAACAATGACAGCTTTACGACCTTACTGATTTTGAACCATGGTTTATTTTACGCCAAAGCGTTTCCGCTTTTTACATGATTACCAGGGACGATTTTCCAGTACTTATGGTCTTTATTTCATGCTTTATCTGATATCTGAATACATAAAAAGTAAACTTTTTATGGATTCGTACCCCCATGTATATTACTACTGTTGTAATGATTCATATTCCTTATCATTCCAGAATGCCAAAGCTGCATGGGGGTTTTCCCTTGCACTGAACTTAAACTGTGGTTGTTCCATTGTGAAACAAACTCGTATAGGCACGTGTTTATTCTTGGCAAAAAGACGAAATGAAGCGCCCATATGTGTATTTCATTTGTTGCATCCAAAATATCGCAGTTTTGCATAAATGTAAATAGATTTTTGAAAACAGAATTCACGATCCTGTTAACTTCACTCCATAATCTTTCTATTCTTTGATTGTGGACACTACGTCCACATATAAAGCTTCCCCTATTGAGGCCTCTATTTGCAATCATATGCCTCGCAACATCAATATTTTCCACACCGCGGTCGCCGCGAACTCTCGACGGTAGACCAAATCGTTCCACACCATTTTGAAAAAGGCTGAGTACAGTCGATGCTTTATTGTTTGACGAACAAATTAGGTACACGATAGCCCTACTAAAGCCATCAATGCAGCCGTCATGAACGAATCTCCATGCAATCAGTTTGTGATTCCCATCAATGTGCCTAAATAGATCATTGGCCTATTTTAATTATTTAATTATCACGGTATACTTCTGATTCTATCCATGCATTCGTATTTTGTAAAACATGATACATACCACAAAACATTTGGGATTGTAATGTTATATACTCGTCGTCTTATACAATGTCTTCTACGAAAAGCTCGTCCAATGGGATCTAAAATCTAAAAAACAATTCATTCTAAGGTTGACTATAGGTATACATGCATTTAAAAAGTTTAATGACTGTCATTAATTATTCATTAGCGATCAAATGAAAAATACTTGTAATCTTTCTCTCAGTCTCCATCTTTGGATTCTAACCTCTAGCTCTCTGTGGCTTCCTCCGACAAACGTTTCACCAGCATTTGACTGTTGTGTAGTATAAGTCAAAATATCATCCAGGTCTGCATCTGCTATGTTAGAAAATCTGTAAGCTTCAAGTTGGTATTTATTCCAATTTTTTTCCGAAGTCGTAGATAGTTGTTCTATTCACATTTAACGTATCGGCAATTGCAGACCATGACATCCCTGCATGGCGCATTGCCCAAGTTGGCCACACGTGATAGAATAACTAAAACAAAGACAAGATGCATTGAACCTATTGAATAGGTTGACGAGTAATTCAGCATTTTGATTAAATAAAGGAATAAATCAGATAAACAACCTCAGCATTATATATAAAAATTGGTCTCGCAGGTGTTTTTACTCAAAGTAGTTGTATTTGTGCCCATTTGTGACATTTTGAAACATTCATACCTGGTTCTTCCTTTGTCCAGTTCTCTTACTTCCGAATAAAATTCATTTTCATGTTCTGGCAAGAATCTCTCAATACTAAACGAATAATGTCGGTACAGTAGAAGCAAACTGTTATACAAGTTTTGAAGAAGTCCAGTGACTATTTCATGTTCGTTACATCTTTCAACGAAGTAAACAAGAATGCTCAATTGATCATGCCATTTTCGTCGAATGAACTCCAACAAATTGACGTCATTTGAGGTCCACAGTCGGTCTGCTTCGTTGCAGGTTCTCTTTAAGGATTGAAAATATTCACAAATATCTTCTTCGATGGCATGAGCATAGAAACAGCACATGCAAACGATTATAAGCAATCGAAATATCACATTTTCTGCCGGCATTTTGGTATTATTACGTGCAGTAAAAAAATTGACGTAAAATTTTACAAATACAAAGTGAGATTTTCACAAAAACAAAGTGAGATTATACAAAAACAAAGTGAAATTTATGCAAAAACAAAGTGAGATTTTTACAAAAACAAAGTGAAAATTTAGCAAAATCAAAAGTCTATGGCTTTTTAATATGGAATGAAAGTATTTCAGTCTATGAATCATGTGGATAACGAATTCAATGTATGGTGAGAGCAATTCAATACATGAGAATAACATTTTTGATTTTTGCAACGAACGGCGCCTCATACTTATCACTTTATTATAAAACACGTGTAATATAGACAAAAGAATCAGCCACCATGGGGTTGCTGCAAAACTGCAACGTCAATTTAGATTTATTGCAAAACCAATCAAATTCATTCATACTCATTACACTAGTTTAAATTCATAAGAAAAATTTAAAATTTTCGGTCCGTGCCATGCCTTAACAGCTTTCAATCTTCCAAGTTGACTTTATATAAAGCATTGATATGGTTAACCTTTACCGCGAATTTTGTTGTAGATGGACAACTTTTCGAATAAGACAGAATATTTCACAATAAAAACCGTCTGTGAAACTATACTTTTGAAATTAGTTGTTCATTCCATTTATGCAAGAGAAACCGCAAGTTATTAGTAGCCTTACAGATCTTCTTCTCAATCAGTAAACCATAAATTCTTTTACTGCCCAACATTCTTTTAAAAAGGTATGCGAACAGCAAGCAGTTTTAGATTATGTTCAAGCCATGAAAACCGCATGAAATCTTTGGACGATCTATAAACATCTTCACACTTCTTCAAAATCACATTCAGTTTCAGTTCCAAAATTTATATTTTTCTCGTTATTATAAAGCATCTTGTAAGTTGCGCTATTCATAACAGCTTAGCTTCCGCTAATAAATAAGTGATAATGAGCAAAGTACATACAACATGTGGCTTTCAGCTTGTAAACATTATTCTTCGTTTGTGGCATTGACAAAACTACAACGAGAATTTCTTCTTTAAAATACATATTATAACTCCATAAACTATGTATTGAGGCTTAAATAATCGCAATGATTGTACTACTTGAAGCAATTGAATGAAAATTGATGAGAGATTGGCATTTTGCGAGATGCAGGCCCCTTGCTGCAGAGTATTTGTCCTTTGTTGCATATTTCAAATGGTTTTGAATAAACGGAACTTTTAATGAACTGAACCAGCAGCTGGTGGAAATGTAGAAGAAAATCTTGATAAACCATTGAATAAATGGCTGGTCATGGTTAGAAGAGGTAGTCTATTGAATGGGTATGATTGGCAATTGGTCGAGATAAACCATTGAATAAATGGCTGGTTATGGTTAGAAGAGGTGGTCTATTGTTGGAGCACGATTTTCCCAGTAGTTAACAACAAACCTTTGGGGTCAAAGCATTGTATTTATCAGGCCTGTTCATTGTGATTGTCCTCAAACCGCCATCAGGAGAGACAAGAATATTTTCAAACTCATCTGATGTATTAATGTCTTTGTTGGTTGCTGTTGGTCTTGGGTTCTTGTCCTGAAGTTACATTTAAGAAATATTGAATAAATTTGCAATAACTAATTTAATAACTGTTTTGGACTAAACAGCCCAAAAGTGTAGATTGAGTTCAAAGATATTTCATCTCCTAATGAATGACTATGTTTCACTTGCACGCCAAACCTTTTAACAATATTTAACTTTAATAACTGTACACATATAACAAACATACTCCTGTAATGTTAAAAACATTGTTAGTCGAAAAATCTGTTCTATAGTTCAATGTTGAGAAGGACATGTACACAACAGGGAAATGATGTTTATACAGAATATTTTGCAGAAAAGCTTTGTGTTTATAATACACAGCAAAGTTAAAAATCACCTAGTAAAGTCTCCACAAGTGCTATATACTGTTTTTGTGCATCTACCTAAAAGAAAAGTTCAATTTAAAAGTATTCATTACATGCAATAGAAGTTTTTTTCAAAAGGCCTTAGGTATTTGATAGAGAATCAATGGTAACATTTGCATTTTTTTCCTGCATCATTAATACTAAGAAAGTTAAGTACAAGATTTTACTCTCCTAAATGTTAAGGAATTCTTTGTAAATACAAATAGGGGATATAATTCAGATTGCATGGCTTGGAGAGAAACTATGTATATTAAAACCATTGAAAAGCACAGATTTACATGCAGATATTTTAGCTGTATGTTCCGGTAGGTGTATATGTACTCATAAATTCCTGAAGACCCACACACTCAGTTCTTAATTAACAGTGTGCTGTCAACTTTGCATAAAACAACTTTTTTACTGTAAATAATTTGATGACGATAGATTTTAGTAAGACTTGTGAGAGTGTTCAATAAAATTGTTGAAAGATACAGTCCTTTGGTGATGTTTGAAACTAGATACATATTGAATGTTCATTATAAGGTAAGTGCAGCCTTTCTTAAACTAAATATTCACCTGTGATAAATCACCCAAATCGTTCCATGCATTCCATTTTGTCTTTCCAACAAAGTCCAAAGTCCCAGGCTTTGGTGTATTACATTTGCCTAAAGAACCCTAATATATATTGTTATTTGGTTCGTCTTATTTTAACTTTGATTGTATTGTATGGTGGGACTGTGAACAGTTATAATTGAAAAAAAGTTGACTGTGCCTTTGCAAAAATGTGATTCAACTGCGATGATGCCCATTGTGCATTAAAAATGTAAAGTCACCATTTAATTGAAGAGCTTGTAGGTAGGAGATACAACAACTAATGTTCAAGCTTTATGTAAAAACCGGATACAATATCTTTATGGATCGTAAAATACCTGCTTAAAAAGGGCGTACATCTTTGACTTCAATTCATTCCCTGGATCTTGATTTAAAGATCCCACTTTGTTTTTTGCTTCTTTAAACTGGTGAGAGATTGCAGAGAACTTCGAACCATCTTCGTAAAAATGTTCAGGTTTAAATAAGGTCGAGATAGTTAGTTCACTATACCACGACGAAAAATTGCATGGGATTTACAAACTCTTGGCGTCACGTTCATTTGCTATAATAAAATTTACAATAAATATCTTTTCATTATTGATTGAACTTTGGACGAATAAGAAAATTGATATCTAGAAATGACATGAATGAAAGGCAAAAGTAAATCAAACATCATGTGACTATTTTTGACCAACGACATTAGGATGTTGATAGTGGTTACAATGGATGATAGTGAATAATTATGGACATGCTTTCAAATTGGCGTATGCTGAACAATTTTATTTTCAGTCAATTTGGAGCACACTTAATCATTTTATCGCAAGAATAGGTAAATGTTGGCTGAACTGTATAAAGGCGTTCGGAAGCGTAGAGGACTTGACGCTACAAGACAACTATCTTCACGTAGCAGAATGACATTTGTGGTGAATTCACTGAATTGTTGTGGAAGCTTGTTATTGTTGTTATTCTGGCTATGTAATCCAATCTATCTGCATGAGTTCTATCATGACGCAAATCGATGCGTACATGTATGAGTTGTATCGACCTGCTTACTACACAGTCAACACTTCACCAATTTGTAATTTGAAACATTTTGGGATAAGAATTTTATACCGACGTATCCTCTGCGATAAAAAGACTCATAAGAAAAACTGTTTTGTTCAGAGAGGAAAATATTTTACTCGCTGATTGCCTAAATATTCTTTGAGTATTTAAAACTGGCTCATGTAAGACCATACATGTATGTAGTTAATGGGATCTAAATTTTAGCTAGCTTCTGCAATATTATAAGAAAACGATGCACGGTAGTGAGGTAACTTAGTGATTAAATGTACTAAGCCGAGGGAGATTTTGTAGTAAAATCACAAGACTTGTAGCACCGAGGGATTTTAGCTAACCTGCCAGTGCTTTCAAGTGCATTTGATTGCCAAAAGTTAGTCAGTGCTTCACACACTGTTTATAAATTTGAATCTGCAGCTATTGTTACCTAAGTAGATCTATTGATTGTCATACTTATTTTATCACCATGTTTTTATATTTTCACCATCATAAGTTGAACATTTGAGTTACCTTGCATGAGTCGTTTTACTTAAAATATTCTTTAACAATTTTGGTTCATCATTGTTTTGTTTCTTTGTAATTGATTTTATTTAGTATTTGTTAATATTGCAACTAAAATATTAACTCGGTTCAGTCTCCGCTTGCTGAAATCAAGATGGCTTCTAACCTTGAACATTTCAAACATTACATCTCAATGGTTGAAACCAATGAACTATTTAATTAAGTTACATTTGTTTCATCGTGTGTTCCTCTTTATGGATATCAAAGATATAGACAGTTATTCAAGAATGAAATAAAATATAGAATGTTTTCATTTGTTGATTTGACATACAGATTATTTTGTTTACCTCCAAAAAGGAGGCAATTTGTTTACAGCAAAACATAAATGCAGTCTTTACAATGTTTTTTAGTTGTCTTGTCAGAAATATCGAAAATGTTTAATGATTGATAATATTTTAATTGTTTAACTAAATGAGTTTGTTTTATACCATTAGAAACTGATGGAAGCTTTAAATGGTCAAAAACGGCAGATGTCCTGGGATGGGGATGAAGCTTTCTATGTTTATAGATGTATACCATTGTGAATTTATAATTTCATTGCTATCACAATTTAGAGATTAATATAAAAATTTTTGATGCTATAAGATGGTCTCATCAATGTACAACAATTGAACTGATTTCCTTCTGCTGAGAGACAACCTCACTTACGCTACGTAGTTTTGCAGTAAGTTTTTGTTGAATTTCACTACAGTCTTGATACTTAATTTATTTAACCAACAGTGACATGATTATTTGTTTCTATAGAAACCTATTGTTATATAGATATGCTTATATATACTATATACTTATATACAGCCTGCTACATTGCTGAACACTGAAAGTCCCACCTGCATTCAAACTTGCCCAAGAAACAAACCCACCCGATATAAGTATATAGTTACATTTAATACTGTAATGTTAACAGATAATTGCAATATAATAGCATAGTCCAGCATGTTTCCTGTACCCCCATGTAAATATCATTGATAATGGCTATATGTTTGTAAATGATGATCGTCCAGGTTAATAAAGTCCTGAGAAGGACTGTTTTTGATGTTGTTGACTGACGTTTCGACAACCTTAGCGGTAGTCATCTTCAGAGTCAAATGAGGAGTAAACGTCAGGTTAGCCGTATTTGTTGTCTGGTTCTTACGTCATTGTATTGTGTGGACTTTATTACGATCATTTGGACGACAGAGCGAACAACTTGCTAACGACTACATACGTTTTGCAAGCAACGTCAGACGCATACGCCAACAACTCTGGTTCAACCACCGCTGCAAGGATTTTGGTCTCGTTCCGGCAGGACTTAGAATTAAGTCTCCGTTGAACACACAAGAGGCTATTCAGATTGTCAAATCCACCAGCAGACGACTTATACGAGCACGGATTAACGACTGTCATAGACGAATCAACTATTACATCAAACAACAAGAACAAAGACTGAACAAACTGAAGGAACTCATACCAACGACAGTAAGTGATACTTTACTTTCTACCATACAAACTATTGCAGAGAAACGAGCAAACAAGACAGAGACACAACACCAAATCAAACAGCAACAAAAACTTGAACGTTTAAAACAAACTAAAACACGTGCAAGACATAATGACGATAACTGGGTGAGGAATATTTCTTCCACCCATTAGACGAAACTGAAACGCGACTACTATCTTACGGACTAAAACATTCCATAACACCTAGACAAATCCCGACTGAGACGATAGTATCATGTCGAGGCTGTCCTAGCGTATCAAAGAGACTTGTCAGAGACAACAAAAAGACGAGATCAGAAGCAGGATAGCCTCCACTTTACAATCGTCCTCTATACGTGACAACAACTTGACAAAAGACGAACAACAAGCACTCAAACGACTAAAACACGACAACAACATCGTCATTTTACCAGCAGACAAAGGACGTGACTGTGGTCATGGACAGGAATGATTACTTTAACAAAATGGACGCACTTGTTAACGACAGACAAACGTACGAACAACTCAAACGAGACCCAACACCATCACTAGTACGCAAACTTAACAGCAAGATTCTCTATGAGAAAATCTAACATTATATCTGAACGTATTTATTATCGACTCAGATGTTCAGTACCACGACCACCCAGACTATACGGACTACCTAAACTTCACAAACCACAAATACCCATGCGACCAATTGTATCATTCTGTGGTTCGCCTACTTACGAACTTTCAAAGTACTTTGACTAACATACTGCAACCACTAACAAACAAATCAAAACACAAGCTACAATCCACTGAAACTTCATTAAAAACTGCACTATACAAATACCAGACAACTATATAACTAGTGTCTTTGATGTGAAATCACTGTTCACCAGTATTCCACTTAATCTGGCACTTACTTGTACAAAACCCTCATTAAACACCACGGACGTACTGCCATTACCGACAGAAGACATTATGGAGTTACTAGAGCTCTGCCTCACCTCGACTTACTTCCAATACAAAGGAACACACTACAAACAATTACATGGGACAGCAATGGGCTGTCCGTTTCTGTTGTAGTTGCTGAAATTGTAATGCAATCTATAGAGGAACGGCACTCATGACTTACAAACATGCATTACCTTTGGTTTCGCTACGATGACACAATCACAGCACTACATGCAGACGAGATTGATGACTTCCATACTCACATCAACAAACAGAACAGTACATACAATTTATTAAAGATGTCGAAGAAAACGGAACTCTTCGACTGTTTGGTGCAAACATGACAATCAAAACTAGGAACAACAGTTTATCGCAAGCCAACACATACTGACCGACTACTAGACCAATCATCTTAAACCCTACATCACACAAAGCCACCACAATCAGAACATTAACAAGACGTACAAATGATATGTGATTCACCGGACGCTCTACAAAACGAAAACAACTATCTCAAACGTGTGTTTTGACAAAACAACTATAACTCTGACTTTATCAAACGCAACACTTACAAACCCAACGAACCCAACGAAACGAACAACTCAGTGACAACAGCAACGATACCTTACATCAGGTACGTCTGAGACTATCTCGCATTTACGACCATACAACATACGTAAGCATATAAACCAATCACAACATTACGAAGTACCAACGAACATAAAGGACAAAGAACAACCCAACGAACGACAAGGTGCAGTTTACAAAATAACTGTCTGACTGCCACGCTCCTATATCGGGGAAACTGGCGGAACTAAACATAAGACTTACTGAGCACAAACGAGCTACTAAAAACAAGACAAAACTAATCACATTGCCGAACATCACCGAATCACAAAGGACAACATTGACTGGGACTCGGCAAAATGCATCACTTACAGTACTGACTATAGACAACGCTATACATTAGAAAGTTGTACCAACTTGGAACAAACCCTGAACAGATCACAGCAATTACCGGCACCTTACAAACGACTTATTCACAATACAAAACAAACGATCAATAAAAACATTACACTTCAAACTAATTCACAATGACAATACACAATTGACACCACACTACAACTAAAACGTCACACCTAAATCACACATCACAACTAAAAATAAAATATTTCACTTCACACTAATCCACAATGACAATACATTATTTCCTGCACATTTCTGTACACACAATACAATGACGTAAGAACCAGACAACAAATACGGCTAACCTGACGTTTACTCCTCATTTGACTCTGAAGATGACTACCGCTAAGGTTGTCGAAACGTCAGTCAACAACATCAAAAACAGTCCTTCTCAGGACTTTATTCACCTGGACGATCATCATTTACAAACATATAACGATACTCCCGGGTTCAAACCATTTACTTTATTGATAATGGCTCACAAACATATGTAAGCCTGTGTATTATAGTCAGAGGATTACATTATGAAAACATTCTATATTTTATTTCATTCTTGAATAACTGTCTATACCTTTGATATCCATAAAGAGGAATTGCACACAATGAAACAAATGTAACTTGATTAAATAGTTCATTGGTTTCAACCATTGAGTTGTAATGTTTGAAATGCTCAAGGTTAGAAGCCATCTTGATTTCAGCAAGCGGAGACTGAAATGAGTTAATATTTTAGTTGCAATATTAACAAATACTAAATAAAATCAATAACAAGAAAACAATAAAAATGATGAACCAAAATTGTTAAAGAACATATTTTTAAAAAAACGACTCATGCAAGGTAACTCAAATGTTCAACTTATGATGGTGAAAATATAAAAACATGAAGATTAATAAAAGCATGACAATCAATAGATTCACTTAGGTAATAATAGCTGCAGATTCAAATTTATAAACAGTGTGTGAAGCACTGACTAAAACATTTTGGCAATCAATGCACTTGAAAGCACTGGTGGTTAGCTAAAGTCCCTTGGTGCTACAAGTCTTGTGATTTTACTACAAAATCTCCCCGGCTTTCGAGTACATTTAATCACTAAGTTACCTCACTACCGTGCATCGTTTTACTTATAAAATATTGCAGAAGCTAGCTAAAATGTATCCCATTAACTACATACATGTATGGTCTTACATGAGCCAGTTTTAAATACTCAAAGAATATTTAGGCAATCAGCGAGTAAAATATTTTACCTTACCTGAACAAAACAGTTTTTCTTATGAGTCTTTTTATCGCAGGGATACGTCGGTATAAAATTCTCATCACCAAAATGTTTCAAATTACAAATTGGTGAAGTGTTGACTGTGTAGTAAGCAGGTCGATACAACTCATACGTAACGTATCGATTTGCTGTTTAAAATCATGATAGAACTCATGCAGATAGATTGGATTCACATAGCCAGAATAACAACCAATAACTTTAAGCTTCCAGAACAATTCAGTGAATTCACCACAAATGTCATTCTGCTACGTGAAGATAGTTGTCTTGTATATGCGTCAAGTCCTTTTCTACGCTTCCGAACGCCTTATTTTATACAGTTCAGCCAACATTTACCTATTCTTGCGATAAAATGATTAAGCGTGCTCCAAATTGACTGAAAATAAAATTGTTCAGCATACGCCATTTTGAAAGCATGTCCACAATTATCCACTATCATCCATTCTAACCACTATCAACATCCTAATGTCATTGGTCAAAAATAGTCACATGATGTTTGATTTACTTTTGCCTTTCATTCATGTCATTTCTAGATATCAATTTTCTTATTCGTCCAAAGTTCAATCAATAATGAAAAAATATTTATTGTAAATTTTATTATAGCAAATGAACGTGACGCCAAGAGTTTGTAAATCCCATGCAATTTTCGTCGTGGTATAGTGAACTAACTATCTCGACCTTTATTTAAACCTGAACATTTTTACGAAGATGGTTCGAAGTTCTCTGCAATCTCACCAGTTTAAGAAGCAAAAGACAAAGGGATCTTTAACTTATCCAGGGAATGAATTGAAGTCAAAGATGTACGCCCTTTTAAGCAGTATTTTACGATCCATAAGATATTGTATCCGGTTTTACATAAAGCTTGAACATTAGTTGTTGTATCTCCTACCTACAAGCTCTTTCAATTGAATGGTGACTTTACATTTTAATGCACAATCAAGTAATGCCCAACAATATACATTTCCAGGGTTCTTTAGCAATGTAATACACCAAAGCTGGGACTTTGACTTTGTTGAAAGGCAAAATGGAATGCATGGAACGATTTGGGTGATTTATCACAGGTGAATATTTAGTTTAAGAAAGGCTGCACTTATCTTATTTTTAGCATTCAATATGTATTTAGTTTCAAACATCACCAAAGGACTGTATCTTTCAACAATTTTATTGAACACTCTCACAAGTCTTACTAAAATCTATCGTCATCAAATTATTTACAGTAAAAAAGTTGTTTTATGCAGTTGACAGACACCCTAATTAAGAACTGAGTGTGGGTCTTCAGGAATGGTACATATTACATCTACTCGAACATACAGCACAGCTAAAATATCTGCATGTAAATCTGTGCTTTCAATGGTTTTAATATACATAGTTTCTCCAAGCCATGCAATCTGAATTATATCCCCTATTTGTATTTACAAAGAATTCCAACATTTAGGAGAGTAAAATCTTTGTACTTAACATTCTTAGTATTGGTGATGCAGGGAAAAAATGCAATGTTACCATTGATTCTCTATCAAATACCTAAGGCCTTAAAAAAACTTTTATTGCTGTAATGAATACTTTAATTGAACTTTTCTTTTAGGTAGATGCAAAAACAGTATATAGCACTTGTGGAGACTTTACTAGGTGATTTTTAACTTTGCTGTGTATTATAAACACAAAGTTTTTCTTCAAAATATTCTGTATAAACATCATTTCCCTGTTGTAAAACATGTCCTCAACATTGAACTATAGAACAGATTTTTCACTAACAATGTTTTAACATTACAGGAGTATGTTTGTTATATGTGTACAGTTATTAAAGTTAAATATTGTTAAAAGGTTTGACGGGCAAGGAAACACCTTAGTCATTCATTAAGGAGATGAAACATCTTTGAACTCAATCTCTTACACTTTTGGGCTGTTTAGTCCAAAACAGTTATTGCAAATTAGTTATTGCAAATTTATTCAATATTTCTTAAATGTAACTTCAGGACAAGAACCCAAGACCAACAGCCAACCCAACAAAGACATTAATACATCAGATGAGTTTGAAAATATTCTTGTCTCTCCTGATGGCGGTTTGAGGACAATCACAATGAACAGGCCTGTTAAATACAATGCTTTGACCCCAAATTGTTGTTAACTACTAGAAAATCGTTTCCAACAATAGACCACTCTCTAACCATAACCAGCCATTTATTCAATGGTTTATCTTGACCAATTGCCAGTCATACCCATTCAATAGACTACCTCTTCTAACCATGACCAGCCATTTATTCAATGGTTTATCAAGATTTTCTTCGACATTTCCACCAGCTGCTGGTTCAGTTCATTAAAAGTTCCGTTTATTCAAAACCATTTGAAATATGCAACAAAGGACAATTTGCAGCAGGGGCCTGCATCTCGCAAGAAGCCGCAAGTCTCTCATCAATTTTTATTCAATTGCTTCAAGGTAGTACAATCATTGCGATTATTTAAGCCTCAATACATAGGTTTATGGAGTATAATATCTATTTTAAAAGAAGAAATTCTCGTTGTAGTTTTGTCAATGCCACAAACGAAGAATAATGTTTACGAAGCTGAAAGCCACATGTTATATGTACTTTGCTCATTATCATTTTTATTTATTATGGAAAGCTGTTGTTATGAATAGCAACTTACAGATATGCTTTATTAACGAGAAAATATAAATTTTGGAACTGAAACTGAATGTGATTTGAGAAACGTGAAGATGTTTATAGATAGTCACAAAGATTTCATGCGTTTTTATGGTTTACGAACATAATCAAAACTGCTTGCTGTTCGCATACTTTTTAAAAGAATGTTGAGCAGCAGGAAGAAAATTTATGGTTTACTGATTGAGAAAGAAGATCTGTAAGGCTACAAACACTACTAATAACTTATGTTTCTCTGCATAAATAGGAATGAACAACTACAATTTCAAAGTATAGTTTTTCACAGACGGTTTTTTATTGTGAAATATTCTGTCTTATTCAAAAGTTGTCCATCTACAACAAATTCGCGGTAAAAAGAGATTAACCACATATCAATGCTTTATAAAAGTCAACTTGAAGATTAGAGAAACTGTTAAGGCATGGTAACGGACCGAAAATTTTAAATTTTTCTTATGAATTTAAACTAGTGTAATGAGTATGAATGAATTTGATTGGTTTTGCAATAAATCTAAATTGACGTTGCAGTTTTGCAGCAACCCCATGGGTTGTATAATAAAGTGATAAGTGTCGTTGTCTCTACAGTTCGCATCATATCTATCTAAATTAAAGTAAATTTGGACTGTGAGATAATGACTTCCCACATGTCTCATTTTGCTTGCTTTGAACATAACACTTTTTATATTTAGTTTGATGAAGCAACCATTGGCAATGAACTTTTAACATGCAATTGGCATAGAAGAAAGCGATCCGTTTTCAAACTGTGAATTTGCTAGTTTATGGAAAGTATAGGTGGTTTTCATATGCGTCATGCTGATGGACTCCTTACAAAATAATATCATTGGATTCCCTTTGCTATTAGGCGACATGGTGGATGCCCTTTCTTTGTTTGTTATTCCCTTAAGACACACATGAAAACCAAGAATTGCTGTTTTCAAAATTATAATTAATGTTTGCCTGATGAGATGAAGACAAGAAAGAGCGGCTCGCAGCTTTGGCAGAAAAACGTGTAAAGTAAATTTGGAATGTGAGATATATTGACGTCGGACATTTCTCGTTTTGCTTCCTTTGCAACAATGCTATTTATATTTCGCCAAGGTCACAATTCGTTTGTTGAAGTTTGGTGAAGAAGCCATTTTCAATGAAGTTGAAAGCGATGTGGTAAGTTTATATTATTTTTCTATATCTTTAGATGATTCTTGGCTCGATGTTTTTCTTCAATCATATTTAGCAGAAATAATCACCAAAAACTTGATTTTCACGCTTGCTAGCGTCAGGAATACGTCTAAAAAGATATTGTGATAAAAGTCATCGCATAAAAATCTATTGTATTTAATTATTGGTACTTAGGTGTGTGAAATGTAATCTTTGGAGTTATGTGCATAAACTATAGTTTTTGAGTGTGAGGTGCATGAAATATAGTGTTTGCAAGCTAATTATGTGAATTATAGTGTTTATGAGTTATGTGCAGGAAGTTATAGTGTTAGTGAGTTAGGTGGATTCATTATAATATTTGTGATTTAGGGGCATAGACTATAACAGTCAGGAGTTATGTTCATGAACTCTAGTCTTATTGTGTTAAGTGCAGGAACTTTAGCCTTTGGAGTCAATGTAATATAATATGAAAGAAATGCGTGAGATTTCTTGACAAATTAAATTTGCTGATGCATTGTTACTTTGCATGTCATTATTTCATATTTTCTCATACTGTAGATCCCACATGGATGGAGTTGTGAAAGTCCCTTTACCACCTCTGTCATTAACTTCAATTACTCTTACTAGTTTTTCATTGCTCGTGTGTCATGGTGATTCATGGCCAAGAATGTTTGTTTGTAGTTTAGATTCTTTGTGGATGTCAGTTGTTTGTTCATATAATGATGATGAGCCCCATTATTATGTGAGCCCACCTGAAGGTGGTCAACTGATACTCACAGAAGATCAACTCTGCACTAAACATTCTTTATGTGATGATATAACTTTGTTATTGAAGTGGTCCCTTTCCCTTTGCTTGAAGTTGCGTATATAAATGAATGAAGTAGCTACAAAAGAAGATATAAAAAGTTTGGTTGTAGCCGACATCATCAATAGAAAAGGTTTTGTGATAAATGATTATATGCCTCTTGATTTATCTCTATTGTTCTTGTTAAAGTCTCAATGGTTTTTATTGATGGTACTGATTTTTTGTTTGTTTATTGAATGGCACTGTTATGCCGTTAATTGCATAGAGGTACAGATTATTCAGATTGTGGTGTAGACCTGCAATAAATACGACCTACGACTTCTTGTCACGTGTCCTAAACCTTTGATCGCTGCGGTAAACGGTCGAATAGCTGGATTTGGTCTTTCCCTTCTCGCATTGTGCGATATAGTCTTTGCTTCAGAAAAGGTAATTGTATTGAGTTTATAAAATTACTCATCCTAGCTGGTCCGACTTCATCTGTGTTTTCAACTGTTTAATATAAGAGTTATGTTTAATGTGAAAAATTGTGATTGTCTCAAAAGAGTTTTTTGCGCATACCGTCACGTCACTAACATTTAAGTCATTTTTGAGAGTTTTGTGGAAAAAACAAAGGAATTGATATAATTTTTAAAAACAGCCGAACTTTCTTGAATATCATATGTCAAACATTTACTGAGTCGTTTTTGATTGGTCAATTTACTTCGCCAATGAATGCAATAAACACGTCAATTATATATTCATAAAATTCTCCAAAGTGAAAAACTATATGTGGTAGCGTGGCGATATTAAACCTCGACGGGTTCTGTTTCCTTTACCCCCATACTTCCCTCTTTACCCACACCCCTGAATATAATTGAGTACTTTGTTTACCCCCTAGTGACTCCTCAGTACAACATTACGTAGTTTTTATTTCAGTTGACATATTCGTCGTGTTTTTTTAAAGGCAACTTTTCAAACAAAGTTTGAGGAGTGGCGTCATCCTCCAGTTGGATGTTGCTCTCTAACTTTACCTCATTTATGCCATGTTATGTATTTGAGTTGTAACACGCCTATTGATCACTTTAAATAAACATTAAAATGTTTTCTTTTCTTGAACCTAGAGGATGTGTTATGGTCTGAGGTGTTAAAAATTAACTGTGAGATTGGAAAGTAATTAGAACTACGAATAGCGTTATCTAAGTTCCCCAAAATGCTTTACTACCTATCTCTACCCCCCGTCTTCAAAAAAAGTGTTTCGTGAAACATTATTTTGTTATGAAAGAACCGAGATGCTTTAAAAAATTTTCATTTTGTCTTATTGTGAATTTATTTTAAATCAGGCAATGTCTGTTATTCTATGCAACACGAAACTCGACTGCGACATGGCAAAGGAAAGCGGAATTGTCGCAGAAATTTTATCTTTCAAACATTTCGAGTAGGAACTCAATTCACGTTTGGCAAGATTTTCACTAGTTTCTAGACAGGTTTGTCTGTCTATTTTTACGAGGGAGAGGGATTGTGGGCACTATTAGAAAGCAGAAGGAGAGGGGTTGGCGGAGCTTAGCAACTAGAGGGAGAGGAACTGGACACGGGACCTTTCAAAATGCAATAAATTTCTATTGTTATTCATGGACGTTCACGTAGCAGATGATGAAAACATTTACAGTTTCAAACTTTTAAAAAATCCATGTCAGCATATAGTAAAGCAGCATATTTAATATTGTAGTGCCTGCGAGACACAAAGACGTCTATGGTCAGCGGTAAAATACATGAACTTGAGGATAAAAATCACGTGGAATGCGATTTGAATCAAAAGTACATCAGCAACGATGATATTTTGGATGGCATCGTAAGAAGATGGTGGACGAGCTTACAGGAATGACTTACCATCCAGGTATACTTGCGATCAGACTTATGGCGCGTGCTAATATTTATATTACAAATAGGATATTGTGTCCCAATGATCCGTTTGTAACCTTTACGCAACAGAATTTGTAGCGTTGTTGGTGTAAATCATTTGTAACTTGAGTTGAATAACAAAACATATTCGTTCATTTAACCAAGATTTTTAAAATCTTTACTTTGGAGGAAAAAATTGCGTTTTTAATCAAGTTCCAAAACATAGCAAAAAAAGTTTTGCTGGAAAATTTCGAACACTCGTGCTGTATCGTCCAAGTCATTGAGACTTCAGTGTTTACTGTTGGCGTAACGGACTTCTTAGTCGCAATAACCTTATTTTCTTGCATATTTGTTGAAAAATGATGCAGTTGTTTAAAAATAAGAGTCATTGATTAACAACTTGTCACGTGACATCAAGTAGATGTTTGCGCAGGTGCTTTTGTACGCTTAACACTTCGGTGTAAATGGTTTTTTATCAAAGTGAAAAGAATACACAGAAAGAAAATAAATCGAATATTTCATAAACATGAATGAACTTAATGTTTCAACTGTATTTTTGATTTGCGTTGTAAAAAAAGTCATCACTGCTTGCACGCATTCCTCCGAAAGCCATCTTTGAGCAAGGAGTTCGCATTTTTTATTATTCGCATCGGGAAGTTTCTCCAGCTCAGCTGAGCGACATAATTTCTTGGACAATGAAAGCGAGTGCAATGGAGAGAAGCATTTTATGGTGAAATGAAACCAAGCAATAACTGTAAAGTCCAGATTTGTGCTACCTTTGTGGCAACGCAGCGATGTATTTCATTCTGTTGTTAATTTCTTTTTTAATGGTGTTTAATGGTTTTCAATGGAAAATGTGTTCAAATGCATGAATTATAGCCTTTTGATGAAAATAGGAAACTATGATAAAACTCATTTTCAGGCGGGTGGACTCGATTTTTTGGTAAAAGTTCTTTTTGATAAGGAAAATGTGTTCAAATGCATTAATTATAGTGTTTTGATGAAAATATGAAAATATGATGAAATTCATTTTCAGGGGGGGTGGGTGGACACGCTTTATTTGTAAAAGTTCTTTATGATGTGAAAAATGTGCTCAAATGCGTAAATTATAGTGTTTTGAAGAAAATTTTGAAATATGATAAATTTCATTATTAGGGGGGGTGGAATTCCCATTTTCTAAAAAGTTCTTTTCGTTGTGGAAAATATGTTCAGATGCATAAACTATAGTCTTTTAATGAAAATTATAAAATAGGATAAATTTCAATTTCAAGGGGGGTGGAATTCCTATTTTCGTAAAAGTTCTTTTTGTTGTGGAAAATGTGTTCAAATGCATGATTTGAAGTCTTTTGATGAAAATTTTGAAATGTGAGAAAATTCATTTCCGGGGGGCGGTGCAATCCCTATTTTTGTAAAGTTCCTTTTGTTGTCTAAAATGTAATCAAATGCATGAATTATAGTCTTTTTGTGAAATTATTAAAATATCATAATATTCTATTTCGGGGGGGTGACTAGGATTTATTGTAAATTTTTTTTGGATGTGAAAAATGTGCATAAATGCAAGAATTATAGTCTTTCATGAAAATATGGAAATATGATAAAATTCCTTTTCAGGGGGGGTGAAATCCTTTTTTAGTAAAAGTTCTTTTTAAGTGGAAAATGTGTTGAAATGCATTAATTATAGTCTTTTGGTGAAGATATGAAAATATGAGAAAATTCGTTTTCAGGGTGGGTGGAATCCCAATTTTTATAAAAGTTCTTTTTGTTGTGGAAAATGTGTTCAACTGCATGAATTATACTCTTGATGAGAATATGGAAATATTATTAAGTTCATTTTTAGGGGGGTGTACTCCATTATTTTGTAATAGTTCTTTTTGATGTGTCTTAAAAAATACCTATAAAAGTTCAAAATATTTTAATAACAATAATTCATGAATTGTGGACAGTTTTACGAAAAATGTAAGACTAGAAGTTTTTCTGAAATTGCTCGGTATTTTCGTAAAATTTGTTTTTGGTTTGGAAAATCTGTTCAAATGCATAAATTATAGTGTTTTGAAGAAAATTTTGAAATATGATAAATTTCATTTCAGGGTGGAATTTATTTCTAAAAGTTCTTTTGTGGAAAATATGTTCCGATGCATAAATTATAGTCTTTTAATGAAAATTATAAAATAGGATAAATTTCAATTTCAAGGGGGGTGGAATTCCTATTTTCGTAAAAGTTCTTTTTGTTGTGGAAAATTTGTTCAAATGCATGATTTGTAGTCTTTTGATGAAAATTTTGAAATATGATAAAATTCATTTTAAGGAGGATGGAATTCCCATTTTTGTAAAAGTTCTTTTTGGTTTGGAAAATGTGTTCAAATGCCTAAATTATAGTGTTTTCGAGAAAATTTTTAAATATGATAAAATTCGTTTTCAGGGGGGATGGAATTCTTATTTTTGTAATAGTTCTTTTTGATGTGTCTGAAAAAATACCTATAAAAGTTCAAAATATTTTAATAACAATAAATCATGAATTGTGGACAGTTTTACGAAAAATGTAAGACTAGAATTTTTTCTGAAATTGCTCGGTTTTTTTTGTAAAATTTGTTTTTGGTTTGGAAAATCTGTTCAGATGCATAAATTATAGTCTTTTAATGAAAATTATAAAATAGGATAAATTTCAATTTCAAGAGGGGTGGAATTCCTATTTTCGTAAAAGTTCTTTTTGTTGTGGAAAATGTGTTTAAATGCATGATTTGTAGTCTTTTGATGAAAATTTTGAAATATGATAAAATTCATTTTAAGGGGGATGGAATTCCCATTTTTATAAAAGTTCTTTTTGGTTTGGAAAATGTGTTCAAATGCATAAATGATAGTGTTTTAATGAAAATTTTTAAATATGATAATTTTCATTTTTAGGGGGGGGTGAATACTTATTTTT